AGATGAACATTTGCACGTTAGGTTTGGAACGACGCAACCCACTGAGATCTTTAAAAAAATAACCCGACTATGCCAACTATTGTAAGTTCTAGATAGGGCCTATACCTGAAAAAGTCAGGGAAGATTTGGTGATTGAGTAGACTCAAAAATCAAACGTGATCTTAAAAAGTTAGCTTCCGTGTTAAAAAAAGAAACAGGAAATCCCTTTTAACATGGTACTCTTTGGACTAAATAGCACACCTATTTCCTGGTCGGCCTATACAGTATATATATGTTGTGCTGCATCAACAAATAATAATCTAATATTATTTCCACCATTAAAAATGTTTAGTAGTGGCCACTCATGATACCTGGTACTATGCCGAACACTTTCCAGTAGGTATTATTGGGTTAACACACAAGCTGATCTAGGTCAATTTTTGGCGCGGCATATAAGGGGGTGTCTGGCGGGTACAACCCACCATTAAAAATGTCTGCCGGTGGCCATTCCTGATACCTGGTACCATGCCGAACATTTTCCAGCAGGTTTGGTCGAGTTAATTCAGAAGCAGGTCTAGCTAAATGATGATTCCCATTTTCCTACATAGAGAGGTACATAGACCATTACTATACACACAAACATTTGTTAACTTTCCAGCAATGCTGACACCGCTGGGCTGCTGCTCTAATAGTACCACGGATGTATTACAGTATCATTATAATAAACTAATATATCTCTATGATAGTACACAGGTAGCTTTAAATGCTGGGGATACCCTAGAATAGACTAAAAAATTGGTGCTCCAATATGTAATGTTTAAAAATTACTTAGGCTTATAGATATACCTAAGAAATGTGTAATGATACGTTCACAGATAAAGACGCTCTTAGTAAAGGGCTTCACATTTATCATAATTAATATAGATTGGCTTATCTATCATCCCATTGCATCTGGGCCTAGAGAATGCAATTTACAGGCCTAGTACTGTTTGATAACAAGTAATACTCCTCGTTCACATCAATGCGTCAACAGTGATAATAGGAGGCTTAATGCGTTTATGAGAACAAATCGAATCTAATGCAATATTAAACGCCGACTAAAGTAGTTCTGGGAAACTAATCATATCGCGTCTAGTCGTTAGAGAAAGATTATTTTTTAATCCGCTAAAAAGCACCAATATCATATTATGTTGATATTGTATCATCATGTGTCCATGTCACCGCCATGTTTATTTACTAGCTTTAAACAAGTGGGAAAGTAGTTGTCATTCTGACAAACAAAAAAAGACCTACGCTCATTTTAACTCGAACAAAAGCCACTAATATCAATAGTACTTCTGCCATACAGCATATGGCTGAAAAACCTTGAAAAACCCCTTGATCGTTGACGTCACACCAATAAAAGGATGTAGTTTGGTGTTATAATTTCGTCGAGATATGTAAAAAGTTGGCTAATGATATAATACCGGTGGCTCACATGGCACACCGTCACAACAGTTCAGCCTTAAAAGTATGAAGTCTAACAATCAGAGGTGGCGCCAGTGGGGGAGGGAAGATCCCCATCAACCCCCTACCCTTTCGTAGGGAAGAGTTTCACCTTCCCCCTTTCGTCGGGGAGAAACACCACAATTCGTCGGGAGAAAAAATGTATATGTGTTTTCTACACATTAGTAGACACTAAAATCGATTAAATAAGCATTTTAAACCCCTAAATTGTCATATTTTTCGGTGGCTTTGCCCCTTGGTAAACTTTCGAGAGATTTTGAGCGCACTGTGTGCTAGTGTATTGCCAACAAAACTAGTCTTTAAATTACTTCATGTCCCGTGTTTTATTTACTATTATATCAGACTAATAAAGCTCATCTGTTTATGATATTATGATATAGCTATGTCTTAAATTTTAGTAGCCGATTGTTGCAGGTTGTGAGTTAATAATTGATTTTGAGTTTGCATAGCCATTTTTTATTTAAAAAAACATCTTTAGGCAGGATAACATATACAGGCGAGATCTTACCAATGTTTTACAATATGGTCCTGCAAACACATATTACAATAACAACAACAAACGTAACCATCACAGTACAAAAAAATAAACAACAGTTAAAACTTTGGTGGAAAACTATCCCCCGCCGGACACCAACCTGTTACTTCTGAGTCAAGGTTTCGGGGCCAGGAATTACAGCTCAAGGTTATGCTTAACTACAATATGGTAAAAACTATCCCCCGCCGGACACCC